GGGGTGGGGTGGGGGTGGGGGGGTAAAGGGATTGGGGTGGACCGGCCGGTCAGACGTTGTGTCAGATGGAAATAGAGGGAGGATGTGAATCCGCTGGTGTCTGGGTACTCTGGTCTGAAAGATACAGAAAGAAGGAAGAGCATAAACAAGAGGTACTTTTTCTCATTACAAGGGTTTATTGGCACACTAAAGATTAGAGCCTGATATAAACTGGACTCTAAAAGGCTTTTAACTCACATTGTGATACACATTTCTGACTTGGAGCCCTTAAAGCTGCACAAATCAATATTTTTAGATTAACAATAAAAATCAAATGTCTACTTGTAACGTGAAAAGGGGTCACTCGTCGTGACAAACCCACAGATGACCCAATTCTGCAGGTCCCTTCAGCTCTACAGAACCTTTTAGCATCTTTCAGGTCATTGTTTTGGACAAAGCAAAAAAGAGAGTAAACATTGGACTTACATTCATTGGGTGGCCAAATAAATGCTCTGTGTCTGCTGGATGTGTAACTTGCTTATGAACATATGACTCATAACAACTTTAGAAAATGTGTTGTGATCTACAGTGCAACATTCTGCTGCTTTATATTTGGGTATTAAAGAATTGTTTCCGAGATATACTGAGGAGGGCATTTTAAAGTTGAAAAATAACACGACACTAGTAAGGATTTATGCTTTAACAGTTAGTCGAGGTCAGTTTTGATAATCGATTAATTATTCATGTCATTTAAGTAAAATGCCCCAAAAATTCTGGTTCCTGCTTCTAAAATGTGAAGATTTTCTTCTCTGCTGTAAACATCACCTGATGAGCAGCAGCATTCACGGTTCAACACAACCTCAGTCCTCTAGAGCCACCATCCCTTTCACTGGGTCCTTCACTCTCATCTGATCCACACAAGAAAAACAAAAAATTAACATCAACATAGACAGTGATTGAATTACTGCATTAGGAATAACATACTTATTGGAAGAAATCATATCTTCTGGCTCTACTCAATCTTTTTCACTTGCCTCATCTAGCTCCTTGCGTGTCTCCTCCTCCATGCGACGAATGTCTTCCATGTTCAAGTCAATCCATTTGTCGATCCAGCAGAACAGCTGACGGTGGAAATTAGTGAACAAACGCTTCTCTTGCTGGGAAACAACAGAGGAAGACAAAGAGAAGTGTCATATTGCGGTTGGAAGAAAGGAAGCGCTTGAAGTGCAAATAATAAAATCAAGCTGTTTGATTATTACAGATGTTTTAATTCCATCCTGCTTTACTCTGCTTGTCCACTAGAGGCTGGTGCAGCCCATATGTACAGCATTAAAGTGAGTAGTACTTTTCCACTGGTACCTCCGGCTAGCAAGATGTAAGACACTGTTTGTACTGTATTCATGCAACATTTTCCATCATGTTACAGTTTGTTGTCAACAATCCTTCCTCAGTGGCTGACTTTGACCTGTGGCTACCTGGATGTCATATGAGTGACAACCTGTACCACAGCTTGAACTGTAAACAAACCTTTTGAATGAAGTTCTCCACTTTATTTTGCAGGCCCCACCACTTGAATTTGACAGTGACCAGTTTGTAGGCACACATGTGTGGGCAGTCTTTCTTGTTAGGAAGCTCTTTCTGCAAGTGCACAGACACATATACATACATGGTATTTTGACTTGTTAACAAAGATTCAGTTTCTTATATTCAGGGCCACAGCCACAATTTTAGACATAATAAAGTTGTGAGTTTCCCCCAAACAACAAACATTTAAATTATTTAGCTTTTTTACATTGTATTGTTTGTAAATTAAATTTCCCTATGAGCCAATTTAAAGGGTCTTTCTCTACAATACCAACAATTACACAGTGCAAACATATATTTATATACTTATTTATCAACCGTTTGTTGGCCTTAAATAGTCAGATATATTATATTGAGTTTAAAAAATACTAGACCAAACAACAACTGTTGGTAGGTGCTTATATCCCTGGTTGCCAAAACTGATAAATTCCCAGAAAAAACAGGACCTAAGTTTCCACATTGACTGAACATTGTACTTCTTAAGAAACAAGTATGGGTGCTAATGATGTTTTTTTGTTTGCACATCCATAATCAACAGTAATGTGGTCTTTATCAGAGGTCTTTGTTTATCATGTATTTCAGTGGTTTTAAATGTGTCTAAACCAACTGAGACATCTACAACAACGCATACCTTCCAGTCTGGTCCTAGAGGGCCTCGTCCTGTCTTCACTGACTTGTACCTGCAAGGATCCTCCTCTGGCTTGTAGTCCTGGAGAGTGACAAGAAAACCCATATTAAACAACATGGATGAGTTGACAAGGATGACATGGATGATTATGGATCTTAAAGCTACACATATTCACCTTCAGCTCCACTTGGCTTCTGTCCGCAATATCGATATAGACTACATCCACCTTCTTCCAGGTTTCTGCATCCAAACCATGTACCTGAAACAGAAGCACAGAGCACAGCTAGATACAGGCACGAGGCTCTGCAGGAGGCCCACATACAACAGAGAGACAAGACAAGCAGTTCATTAACATATTCATATATATAGGAGCTCTGTCCTAAAGTTACAATGGAAGCATATAGCTAGGGGATTGTTTCTGTAGGTTGTTCATAAGAATTCACAGAGCAGTTTTTTTAATTAGAAAACAAGTAAACAGACTGTAACAGTGGGAAATGTTGGCACTCCAGAACAGTGGAGGAAGTGAATAATAAACAAAAGATATCCATACATGGTGTGAGATACAGTTTGATTTAAAATCCAACATTAGAACACTTTCTTTGCCACATGCATTGTTTAAAGTCATCCCAAAAGTGCTCATTAAAAATTCATCATGCAGCTCAAACACACACATACACCATGTCAGCTCATTACAGCCTTTACTAATTACATTTTCAAGGTGTCCCGTGTCAGGTTTGTGCCATGTCTCAATCTTGATCAGGAAGTTATCTTTCATATACTCGTTCTGCAGAGAAAGGAGGAATAGAAAGCAGTGAAGATGGAACGATACATCTACAGAATAAAATGTAAGCGAGTGAAAAAAACATAAAATACAACTGTCAGTGCTCTCATACACATACACCAGCACAAACAGAGTAACAACGTCTGACTATCTCTGCTGTGGCTGTTGCTGAAAAAGATCACATTTCTTTCTCAACTTTCAAGTTAATTTGCTCTCTCTATGAGCATCAGTTTGCTGTGTCAACATACATGAAAATTGTAAGCACAAAAAAGAACAAAAAAATACTTACAGTGATAACTGCAGAGCCAGAAGAAAGAAAGCACAGGAGCAAACAGAGAGAAAGAACATATGAGAAATGTGACAGCATTTACAGTATTGGACAATGTACAGAGGACAAGAACCTACAGCTGTGTGTGTAGATTCAGGTTGTGCCTTTGACTGTCCTGTGTGTTTGTATGACAGATGGCTGTCAGGCAGTTGGTAGTGTGTGTGTAATCTCAGCCTGAAAGGCTTGAGTGATTGCATGGCTCTTCTCACTGGACATACAGTTAATTATTCAACGACTTCTTCAAGGTGACAGAGACCCAGAGACAGGGAGAGAGAGAGGGAGAGAGAGAGACAGACAGAGAGACAGACAGAGAGACAGAAAGGTTCCCAGAGATCGACAATCTCTTTGACAGAGCCTCCTATGTGACCTCTACGTAATTTGAGTCAATTGTATTCTCACTCTTTCAGGATTAAGTGCAGAAGAATATGTCCTTTTTAATGAATATGAAATATATGAATACATCAAAGTGTGCGTTTTTCAGTTATTATAGTGGGTAAGATTGCAGCCTCCAGAATTATTCTGAGGCATCGCAAAATAGCTACCAGGTTTGGGTACATTGGGTAGATTTAGTGGTAGAGATTGTATCCTACGAGTCTGTGCTCAGTATTAAAAGCTAGCTTTGGAAGATGGGGCTGACTCATGGGACCTCTTTATATGGATCGATGGGCTGCCTGTTTATATTTTAAGCATAGCCAAAAATGTCCTGTTTTCATTTTATTGTGGACTGAAACTCTCACTACTGTATCTGCTGCTTGTTTTTTACTTTAACTTTAACTTATCTTTTATTTCCTACATCATGTCTTGTACTAGTGTCAACTTCTGTAACCCTGAAATGACATGAGGGGTTATTTTGCTGCCATGTAAAGGTGTCAGGTGTGTGTGTGCTACCTGTGCGACAGTATGGGTATGCGTTCCAGGCTTTCTCGTGGATGTTGAGAGCTGAAGATGGAGCCAACATTCGGACGAATGACGGCACTTTACTGCAGGACAGATGAGTGAAGAACAAACCAAGGTAAGTTTAATGTTTCTCTATAGTTATTCTTAATGGTTTGGCTAATAGTTCTGGAGAAAGATAGTTGTTGAGTCTCATTCACAGGTTGTCAAATACAGACACTTAGGCAACCAAAGGCATCAATATTTGACGACCTGGGAGCATGAACGCAACCTGTTGTGTTGTGTGGCTTGCTCTGAACAACTTGGTTTGTTTCCCATTTACCGTTACTCAAAGCATCAATGTTTGACGACCTGGGACTCAACAATCAGCTATCTTTCTCCAGAATTACTGACTTCACCTTCACTGCCACCACTACCTGCCAACAGGTCGGATTCACCATAAAATAAGACAAAACGAGACGGGGGAAACGCTACTGCTTTTATCCACAGGGGCCGCCAGAATCAACACAAACAAAGTTCTATATTTAAATCAGGAGACATTAGATACATGGGGAAAAAACATAGTTAATAAAATTAAGGTTAGATTTTGGTGCACACTGCATGATTTAAGTAATAGAGTCTGCATGCGTGGGCATTAAAATAACACCCTTGCCTATTATCCTAATGACGTCTTGACACTGGGGTTTGCGAATCACTCCCCTGATACGGGCCACAGTCCTGTGGCTTTGACTTTAAAGTAATGGGGTAATAGGCTGAATCATAAAAACAAATGAATGGATCCAAGCCAAGAGCTGTGGCCTGAAATGAATGAAGTACTCTTCCTGAGTGAACGGACAACTGCTTACCTCTGCAAATGATAAATTTTGTGTGTGTACTGTCCCTTCTCCCCCTCTTTCTCGTAGGGCTCATTTTTTAGCACCTCCACTCCTTCTCCTCCACCTGTCTCATTCTTACTGGCCTCAGCCACAGAGTACAGCTGGCCGACCTGGTACTGAAAAAAAGAGGGGAAAAAAACTGGTTACACTGAAGTCATGTCATCATATACATCATCTGATCTATTTAAATCTTAAGTGGTGGATTAACTTTTTCTTCTGATCCTTTTTCTGATCACTACCTTCTCTTTTCCTGGGAATCCTCATAATCTCTCCCATACACTCTTTGTCTTTGTTTTTTTGTCTTCTTGTCCCGTCAACTTCTTTTTGTTGCACTGTTTTTGTTCCCTCTTTCTCAAACTGAACACTATCTCCTACTTTCATCCCTTTCTTCCTCTCATTCCCCTTTCTTCTTGATCTTGAGTGTGCATGTGAGTGTTTAAACACAGGACAATGGCTCCTTTCATTTCTTAATCACCTCTAATCCACCATATAACCTCTGCACAAAGCTGGGCCAAGTGCAGACACACTACAACATCACAAAGATGGAACAAGTCGATTTTTTATTATAGAGATTACAGATATTTGTATTCCATTGTCAACAACACCATTGTGTAAAATCAAACAATGAGAATATTATAGGTTTCATATTTACACACATATAACAAGGCAACAGAGGAAAACCACAATCTAGGAACCAGAGTGGATCTGACAATGACAAGTTTGTATTAGTTACAAACCCATTAGTCATGTTGAAGCCTGTCACAACTGTTTTTTGTAGATTGTCTTTATAGCGCACAAGTCGCAACTGAGTTTGACAGAATGTCTTGCTTCAGAGTCAAAAGATGATCGAATGCTCTCCTGCCCCCTCCTGAACCTCCAGTGAGCTCAGTAGAGAAGGTTTAACTTCACTTTCAAGCAGAATTTTAGATTAGCAATGAAAGTGAATTACTGAAGTGTATACTGTATATAGAGCACAGTTAAAGTTTAAAGATAAGCACAGTACAACAATAAGAAATATAAGTTTAAAAAAAAATCTACCTATTTACCAGTATCTGTACTTATTAAGCACAATAAATACACAAAAGTACAAATAAACTACAACTGAAATGGAAACAATTTCAAAAAAAGTCTTAAGGATGTAATGATTTGTGGACAGTTGGAGCTGCTGTCTGTGATGAAATTGGTTTATCTTCTACATGGTTTGATAGAAAATTGGTGCATATAAACAATTTCAGAAAGGCATTAAAAAACCTAACATAATTTTTTTCGATCGCTAAAATGTTTTCTATTAAACTCAATTGTGCAATTTTACTCTAATGGGGTGCAGGGATGGAAGTGCTTGATTAACCCTACTGTGGATTTCCTCACCTAAAAAAACACCAAAACACACATAAAATAATGTCCAATATATACGTGTGATGCTGTATGTGGCATTATTTCAGCTGATTGATGTAGCTGCAGTTTTTACTTTTTTGCAGTTATAGGAAGCAAACACTTACAAATCAGCTACAAATCAGTCTCATTTCAAGTTATTAAATTGTTATTATTTTACTCCATCAAGAACATTTTCTCTTGTATCAATTAATTTGACTGTCTGGAGGAAATTTCAGAGCTCCAGGCACAGATTTCCCTGACCAGTAACAGAACAGCCGTAGGCAAGCCAAGAACTGATTAGACTTTTGTAGTAATTCCAGATAACTCATACGCCATACATTAAGAAGGATAGTGAATTGAGGACAAGTCCTATATATTTGCAGTGGAACTGGGTGGTTAAACCTTGATCAATGCCTTCACTTAATGGCAACTCACTGTGTTCATTGCTAAACTGCGAGCCAATTATTTTACTGACTTTTGGAAGAAGGTGTCCCAAAAAAAAGCATCAGTAAAAGGTGAAAGGTGACTATTCAGAGACTGCTCCTTTTAACCATGACCGTACGACCTTTTGTGTGCTCCACAGCAGCAATGGAAAACAAAGATATTATATAAATAACAAAGATATAAAGAGTCTGTTCCCTCAAATCAGCTGCAGATACCACATCTGCCGACAGAAATAAATGGGATGCAGGAACAGCAAAGCCTCCTGGGTAACAGTGTTGGACAAATATAATTCAACCTTGCCTTGTGAGGTGAGGCCATGTTCGGTTATACCAGAACTTCTTTCTTTCACCAAAATAAAACAACTGATAATGCTTTAGGTTAAAGACGGCTCCTGGCGGCAAGTTAACATACAGGAAATCCAATTCAGTAAATTTTCCAGGGGTTATACGCTCCAAAACAAAACCTCTGTTCAAAGAGATGAATCCAGAGTCGTAAGTAAAGATACAACTGTTGAGCTTTTTGAAAGAATCAAATCAAATCACATTATGGGCAAAAAGTGAAAAAATGGAAATCAAATGGATGATGGATTGAATCACTACTCCCCTGAAGTATTCAGCTGGACTGCAAACCTCCATATCTGGTATTTGGTTGTAAATAACTGAAGACTGCTGCTTCAGAGAGTCGGGATGTAGAGAGAGTGACAGAGGAACTGAAGCTCTGGAGGGATGTGATTCACAGGGGACTTTACTCAACTGTATTCAGGCTTTGTGGATCATATTGTAGTCAAATAATTCTCTCTTAGTACTTTTCCAGCATCTAATTGTGACATAGCATGCAGACTGTCATACAGTTTCCAGGCCTGCTGCTCTAGAGGAAACCTGCCTCATTATGTAGAGATATATGATAAAGATAAAGGCTATTAAGACACAGTTAATGAGAAGCAACATATTGCAGATCTAAAGCCAGAGGAAATGCAAGGAGATGAAATCAGTGTGATGTATTGGTCAGTCCACTGCCATGTGACTTTAAGGTGGACTGAAAATAAAAATATGTAAGTATAAGCACAGATCTCATCAATCAGAAAATTATTCTAAATCTTAGATTTGGCTTCTTGCGGTCCTATGACTGAGGTGGCACAATGATTAGTTGCTGTTTCAATGAATTGCATCAATGAGAAGAAACTTGACTTTCTATATTAATGCCAGACAAAGCAGATATGTTAAAGGAAAAATGTTACAGTTTTAAATCTTTGAAAATAGGTAAGGTTGCAACTCAATATTACAAAGATGTTTTTTTATATTCAGTGTATTCTGTGAAAAATACACAAGGATGTAAAGAACAAATATGTCATTCTGATCCCGGCTGCAAACCGGTTATCTAGTTTTTGAGCCCTCATTGGTGCTTTACACTCATACTTGGAGCTGTTTATAGTGTGTAAGTGCAGATTAAGTGCTTGCTGGCTACAGTTGTCAACACATATTTATTTGTCATTACTAAACAGCACAGGTGAAATGTTTCTACCAAAAGCAGATTACTCTCATGTATGTGCAAATAATGCATAAATGTCAGGTTGACAGCAGGTGGGGGATACAGAGGTAGTCATGGAAGTATAGTTTCAGGTGACTCATTTACAATGCAGGCCTGAATAGAGGAGCAAACTGCAATAGAAATGAGGATAGCAGGGGACAGAGGGACACATGAAAGAGGACGAGGACAGTGAACGACTGCTGACTCTTTTCAATATGATGGATGGAGTTTTTCTCACAATGTAATCACGGCTGCATATTTTTGCAGTGGCAGTGGATATGTTATAAAAAAAAAATATGTATGTCTTATGTATGTGTTAGAACATATGCACAACTTAAAAATAAACATATAAAAGTCCAAAGATTACCCACAAAAGAGCAACTATAGTGGTGGCAGACACTTGTCCTTCACTTTTCCAAAGAATCAGATAAAAGCTGAACCTTGAGCCATTTTAGCTAACACACACACACAAATATTAATGAGCATGCATTCATAAAGAATTTGCACAAACATGATGCAAATACCCCACTTGCGCTTTACCTGTATGATTTCATTTATTTCAGAGAGAAATATGCTCAAATTAAACTTACCTCTTCCACAGAGATAGGAAGAATCACTCGACTGGAAGAGAAGGAGAAATTAGGGAAGTTATTCAAAAAATCATGAAGCAACAATCAAACTTTGCTCCTCCTGAAGTTGTATTAGTTTGTGTCTTGAAACTATGAAGGCTTGATTTGGTAAAGCTAAATATTGTTGATGTTGGTTGACTTAACATACATTGGACAGCAGGCAGGTACAGTCAAATCAAATACAGTGAAGAAAACAGGATGTCAAGATCCAAAGGATTGCTTTTGGATCACTTTGCCTTTAAATTGATTAAGCTCAAAATGTCTATTTTCCCTGTGAACAATCCAACACAGTGTGAGTGTTGTTTAAGCCTGTAATAAATTAGAGGCATTATAATATCACATTTATCATGCTTCAATTTGGTAATAATGAACCACCTCTGTGGATGGGATTAGCCTGGAGAAATCCTGTGAGTGACACACTGACAACGTGATCTGACATTTTTAACCATTCAGCTCAGCACAGATCTGGACACCGATTATCTGACAAACATGCGTCTTTTCCATGATGCTGTGGAGGACTCCTCAGCTGAGCTGGAGAACAACAGCAGGGATTTGTTTGTTTCTTTTTTTTTTTTTATGAATTTTACTTCTTGCCGAGCATAGAGCAGACATTGCATTCAATGTTATCGCAGTTGTTTGGCATGACACATTATGTTTTATTAACAATAATTATAGGATAATAAAATCTAATGGAACAAAAAAAACCCTGCCTGTTACGTAATATTAAATTCGCATTTCACTTTGACGCTGAGTGATCAGGAGAGAATAAATGATCTATTCTTTGCTGTTCTGAGGCGAAGATGAGAGTATGTTTCACTGGAGCAGGAAAGCAGCAAGATCAAATGCAAAGACTGAGATGTGAAGCCTGGCTGAGCAGTTCTTCTAAAAAGGTTTTTAACCATTTAACAATATACTTTATAGGAGAATGAGGAGAAATCGATCATTATTATTATTTTATAGAATCAGGACATGGTGTGGATAAGGTGCAGGGTGGTCACTTTTGTGTACTAAGCAGCTGTGGATTCTTTGTGGCACTTGGAGCTACACATCTGAATATTAAAGGGCCCATACATTTTTTTGTATACTTTTTTAATACTTTTTAAATAAATTATTCCAACATGTAACTACTTGTTACAATAAATGAAACTATTAATTCCATAACTGAATAAAGGTTCCCATTATCTAAGACTACAAAGGCTACTCTGCCCAGAGCAAACCAACAAGCTGTTTATTCGCCGACTGCACTTCCTTCCTGATTCTGGTCTGTATGCACACCCACGCCTTTGATCATTGTATTCTCTAATTTTCCGGGCATTTTACATATTTTAAAGTTTTTAATAATTTCTAAAGTTTTTATAGTCAACAAAAAACACTTGCATGTTTCTGCAGATCTGGTGAAGACCAGCACCTCCTATGGGATAGAAACTAAATACACATCCAAGTAAGCTAATGTCAAAAATGCATATGTACTATATTTACAATACGATTATTCACATACAAAATGCATTTTGTGGTTCATGTGTTTGTGTTGTTTTGCCCTTTGCCATATTTTGTTTGTGGCAAACATGTTTTCTGTTTCACCACTGTGTTTACAAAAGATTGTTGGGAAATGGAGCCGGCTCCCACTGGCACACGCCACCAACAAAATGATGACATTCACCCCAGCACTCTTTGAGAATGAGCCAAGAACAAATATGTTTTTGTGCAAAGTTGGACTGACAGCAAGCCCAGTGAAAGTCAAAATCAAAGATAATGGTGAAACTTAAGGCTAGGAGTGTGCGTACAGTATGCTGCACTACAAAACCAATGCAAAAAGGAAAGAAGGGTGAAAAGTGGCTTAGTAATCCATTAATAGTGCAACAAGAATAAGGAAAGCAACCCGTTACTCTTGTGTAATTCTCTTTAATATACATGTATGATGAAATACACAATTTAGTAGCCATTCTCTGCAGTATTTACCTAAGAAATTTATTACACAGACACTTTTGCCATTATGATCTGATGATCAGTGTTTCACCTTTAAGGTAACTGTAGGTTAATGTGTTGATCCACACTGCTGCTTTGGCTAAATAATATCAGAAATCCAATAACGTTCCCACTGATATTTGCATGTAACTCCTATGTGTAATATAATCTACTCTATAATCTGTAATAAGCACCCCCATTGCAGCTTTGTATGGATTACAAGCAGTCAGGAATAACATCAAAGTAACACATTGCTGTTTACAAGTTATTGCTGGTGACGGAGGACCTGAAATTGGTCAAAATGAGTGAAAAGGGTGCAAGTTCATGGCAACTTTAGGAATGTTTCGGTTTTATTCTTTGATAATGTAGCCCCAATACGCTTCACAGATCTACCCTCAAACACATACAGTATTAACATGTGAAAAAAGACTCATGCTATACACATGCGCACTCACAATTTCTGAGCTTTTATAATAGAAGCATGACTTAAACACACTGCACTACCTCCTTTAAAGTGTGCACATGTACAGTAGGCAGCATTGTTGATTGTTTTGTTACTGCGATGTATGCCTACATTCCATAATCCTGCATCCCACTCGCCACTGAATGTAATCTGGGTCTGAGTCCCAGCCAGACATTGGACGGGAGACCAGATGCTGCAAGGAAGGCAGAGACAGTAAAAACCTGTGATGTCAAATCACAGTATTGAAATACAACTGAACTAACAGTATATCTTCTAATTTTCTTTACATTGAAGTGTTATAGCTATATGTGTCGGCTAGATAAAATATTTATTTCACACCTTTTTCTCTAAACCAGTCTCATATACCTTATTATGGGGTAAATGTTAAAAAGAGCATTTGGACTTTAGTTAAACAAGTCAAGTCACCTCAGTGCTTCCTCCCTCTCTCTTTCTCTCTCTGCACATCTCTTTGGTCTAAAGGTCTTGACAGGAAGATCAGGTGTCTCTCTGTCGCTTCAGAAAACAAACACCCCTCTTCTCTCCGGCATTGCACATCTTTCCTGTCTCCTCGCCTTATCCATTTTTTTCAGTCTCTACTCTTTCGCTGCTTCTATTACATTCTCTTCATCGCGTTGTATATTCCAAAGTGGCTCTTGTATTGCTGAACACCTGCCAAAGCTCGTGGAAGTGGAGAAAAAGTGGACCAGGAGTGATTTAGGTCAGTGGTTCAGGTGAGCAGCACAGAGTAAAAAAAAACCTGTCTGTGCTACAGCAAGAAATGTATCAATTCACTGTCTCTTGACCCCCATGATGGTATCTTGGTGCATGTGTGTGCGCATGTACAGGCCTCTCTATGTGGCTGTGTGTTGACAGGGTGCATTCAGCATTTAATCGTGACCGATTTAATTAATTTCCAGGCAGACTGCTGAGACCCAGACTCTCCCTAATCACTTCAGATCTTTAGCCATGCCATCACTCTCATCCTGAGCTTTTTGTGCTGGGCCATTAATTGATTAAAGGCATGTGCTGGAGAAATCAAGACAATAGCGAATGCTGATAATTTAAGCCAAACTCTGATCAGTATAGATTTTTCATCAGATGTTATTTTTAGGCTGAAGTTGCCGATAGCTGAAATGTGTGCCATATTACAGTAGTGTAGCCCTGACCTTGCCATAGAATATATTGAAAAATATTAAACATTTCATAGATAATAAGGTGCAGAAGCATCTAAAACTATACTGTAACACTAAAAAGGTGGAGGAGACCAGACTGATGACTTTTTTTTTTACAGGTGGGTCACAAGCTACTTAAGGCAAAATGAGTCTGGTGCACACTAACACCAGTTAGGAGGAAAATGAAGGAACCACTATACTGTCTGAGGTGGACAACTATGAGTAATATCAGTTTATTTGAAGGCCAATATCATCCGATTCCAACGGCCTTACCCTTATTCTACCCACCAGCTGATTCTGAGTAGGCCTCAGTCATTTATCCTTCCAGCACACCAAGGCCTGCAAAAGCAATGTGTTAAAGTAACGTGTTAAAAATACCCAAATCTTCCCCTTTGCACGACACGATCCTACTTTACATGCCATCCCGTCCTCTCGGCCCCAGCTGTCACACTCTGACTGGTGCGTCAAAACCTCGCCATTTGCCATTTCCCCCCCCCCCCAAAAAAAAAAAAAGCGTCCAGTGCAACCATCACCCCTACCTGCCCCGCTCCCACCACTTCTCCCCTTGAGCATCCCTCCACAACTCCCCTATCTCCATTCCTCCGGAGGTAAATGCGGGAATGCTCCCATCACTCGTTTCACCTTCACCGCGCATCAATAACATGGCCACAGCGGCTTACAGCAGGGATGGACGCTGGCACGGCACGGCGCGGCTTACATACACCAGCCATCTCTACCTCACCGCCAACACCAACACCAACACTCCTCTCGAGCATCCGTCATTTTCGCACCAGAGCAAGTGACATTTTATTATCCGCTAGAGTCAAAGCCTCCCGATTTCACTTGATGCAGAAATGTGAAGGGCACAGCCATCCTGCGCCGGCTGCTGATGCAACTACAGCCGCTTTATTATCTCTCGCTTTATTCGGTGAATGCTTTAAGGTGATGGAGTGTCGTTTGCATGAAAAATGATGGACATGTAGTCAGACAGATAGGGGATGTCGACATCAGCCTGGCCGCACTCTTGTAATTCCACTCTCGGGCGACTGGCCACAATGTCAGCGCTGCGAAACCATGACGGATAAACGCGCACACATTCTCCTCTCTCTCTCTCTCAAACACACACATGCACACACTTCTACTTACAATTCCTTTATGAGCATTTTTTGGCGGTGCGGTGTATCCCAGAGGGCAGCGGCTCAATACGGGTCCAGAAACAGGGTCGATCCCTCCCTCCGATAGTCTCTTCTTTCTCCGCTTGCTTCTCTCCCACCTCTCCCCCTCTATGTCATTCTACCTCCACAGTCGCTTATTTTCTTCAAATTCACTTCCTGATCGGGGCCGCGGCGCGGCGTTGCTGTTGCGCGCAGAGCACCGAGGCCTGCAGAGCAGATACACACAGAAAGAGATGGTTCAGCAGGAGGTGGTTTCTGGTTGTGGTGGGTCCACACACCCTAGACATAATTACTGAAAGGGCCAAATTGTACATGTATAATAAATAAATATATAGGCCTACCTCAAGTTCAAGTTATTGTTTTTGTATTAAAACTGCAGATTAATTCAGAGGGATCTGCTAAAAGCCCATGTTCTATAGGAGTGGCAGAGTACAGCAGGTTAAAAAAACATAACACAGACATATTATGAATTAGATAAAGCAGGCTGGGTAATCCACGCCTGCTTAGATTAGAATCATGTAAAATTGAACAACAATGCCATGAGAGGGAATATGTAACACAGATACACAGCGGATTAAAAGAAAATATAAAAACCGACAAACCACCAAATATAAATAAATGGTACAGGCCTCGAGCTTCTCTGAACCGGTTTTCTTGAGAGTGTGCTACACCCTCTGCGTCATCGCTATCACGGTGACGTAGAAGCGTGGTTATTCACGATCAGAGTATATATGGGTATGACACGGGGACCACCACCGCTGGCACAGACGCACGGTGCGTCAGCTCTCTAAACCCTTTACACAATAATTCTCTGCATCCAGAAATTTCAAACTCATTCCTATCCACTAGATCTCTGCCTCTGATGACTGGCACATGTTTTATATCCCAACCACTCTCACATATGTGTATTCCTAATATAATGTATATGAATTATAAAATGAAATCGTGAAGGCAAGCTTGTACAGTCACCTTGATACATTTGCAGAGCAACTGCAGGCTGATCTGTAATTCCATCAAGGACCCCACGTTGGTCCTCTGACCACCCTTTGGTTCACCACCCATGACTCTATAGGATGGTGTTTGACGCGTGATACGACGACAAGGCATCATAGGTCCCTAATCCAGTCCCACGTCCACGAGATCGCGTGTGTGTGTCTAAAATTATGTAACAACGCACTGCTGCTGTATTTATAGCGCATCTGTATCCGTCTGCCAACATCCGCTTATCATTCCTCCGTCTTTTCATCTGTAGGACCGCTTCTACCTCCTGTAGTGAATGTACACTGTAGTACTGTCTATCTATCTATCTATCTATCTATCTATCTATGAGTCCAGTCAGGTTTCTGCCATCTAAAAATAGCAGGTTCTCATATAGATATTATCTTTACATTTAGAATGTTGATATGCTGATAGGAAGTTATATGGATATAATGTACTACTTCTAAATGGTATGGTTTGGCCTGCCTGTTTTGATAAAGTGTGCCTTTTATTTGCCTCAGTAAATTGTATGATCAGATAAAGCACAACAGACAAAATGCACTATAGCCCATAATTCGCATATGATCACATTGTTCAACAGAACGTGATGTGAATGACCCACTAGTTGCTTCACAGTGAGTTTATAAGGCAGTGGTCTCTTGTGGCTTCTTTGAACTGTGTAGCAGAACAAACCACAGGGAGTTGGCCAGCCAGTAAACAGCAGCAGCCTGCAGAGCTCCAGGAACCACTGTCCCTGATGTGAGTGACGTTCTCAGGTGACGAGAGGGGCTGAGGTGTCAAGTGATAACCATCTGCTGAAGTGTAGTATCAGGTGGCAGAGCCGGAGTGCTCACAGACCTGGTAAAACCAAACATGTAGTGAGAGTAGAGGCCAGGAACATCTGGTGGAAAAAAGTATTCACTACTAGCTTCCTTGGGGACATGGAATCAGGAGACACTCTTCACTCTTAAACACTGGTGTTAAAGCAGATTAGCATTTTACATGTGAGTACACAGTGGATAAATAACTCATATCAACCTGTTAAAATTGGGTATTTATATAGAACTACATAGAGCTGAAAACAAACATCAGTGTCAATAAAGATCAGAAAGTGGGTCTATATTTTTTTGCAGGTTTGGTTTGAACGTTTTGGAAATTAGTTTCTAATCTTTGTCAGTGTGTTTCAGATCCTGGGGTCAGTAAAAACTATAATTCAGTTGCAAGTAGGTCACAATTTATTTAGCTTTCTTTGTCCAGTGTGATGGCCATCAGAACATGCTGCTATAATGATAGTGACCTCTGCTGGTCGGTTGAACAACAATCTAAAAGCCCATACACTGCAAATGTATGTAATGCACTGCAGATTCTTTTTTATACCTTTTCTGAACTTATACCTAATTTTCTTATAAATATAAAATGAGTCTTCAAATAAAGGGCTATAACACTTTATAACACACTTATAACATAGGTTTTAAAATCTGTTTTAATCTAAAAACAGCTGAACTTTCAAATTACAAGCCTAACAATAAATCGCCATAGGAACCAGTTGCACCCTGATGAAAGATCAGTGGGCTTACACCACAGTTTTGTATTTAGGATTTTGAGAATGAGATCAGTAAACAGCAACAGCTATCAGCACACCGGTAGTTCTGCAGAGCAAGAACATTTCTCATCAGTAAATGCTTTATGCAGACATAACAATATTCCTGCATATGAAAACAGCAAGCTGTCCCTGCACAAGAGAACTGGGTTGAGATCTGCTCTGTTATAATGCCACCACACTCGGAATGACTAAGTGAGTGTTAAATTGCCACAGTTTCTGCGACAAGGTAAGAATTACACAGATACAGTTACACAGAGACATATAATGTAGCCTGGTGAGCAGCGAAAAAAAAAAGATGAAGAAAAGCAACCATTTAAAGAGATCAACTCAACTTTATTAACCCCCACAAATTCGTCCACATTTAAACAAGAATGAGTTCTACATTAGCATCAATGATACAAGGAAGAGCTCTATGCCAATGACACAGTTGAGTAGGCAGCACAGCGCAATTTAGATACATCATTAAATTTAGTTTTGGAAAAGTGAGTGTAAAATAAAATAAATACGCGTATGAAGGTAGGATGAGCTCAACATTAAAGTGGGACTATTTCTATAGAGAGGCGTCGGGACAGAAGTGCTGAAAGGAGCTGACGTGTGATCTGTGTGATATTTAAAGGATTTAACAGGGTATAAAGTGCTGAACAGTAGGTAGATAGACTGAATAAAATGCTGACTTTAAGCTAAGGCATCTTACTGATGATGATTTTATGGATAAACGTAATGGAGAGGTTAATTGCATCTAATGTGGTTAAAAACCACAGATGCATAGACGGTATTACCTTGTAATGCAAAGGGGAAACAGTTTTTGCTGACATGTGGAAAAACTTCAATAGAAGACGCTGCCCAATGAACACGTTTTCAAAAGGCACTCCTGGTAAAGTATAAAAAAGAAAACTAAAGAAAGCAGAAAATAAAATAAATACTCTAAACATAAATGACATTAAGCAAAACATACAGGTTTGTTTGATGTCCCTCTTATAGAATACAGCCCCAAAAAACACTGATATTCATCCAGTACTACAGCATATTCTAAGCTACAGTAGTTTTATACTGCAACAACAATTAATCATTATAACTGTCTTCTCTACTCACCCAAGAAACATCAGCAATAAGGCTCTTCTCTCCTCCCTGTCGCTCATTAATGCCATTCAGTCCACACTTACCTCACTCCATCTAGCAAAAAAATCCAGCTGAGGAACAGACAGGTAGCACCATGTAATGGGTTTTTACAATCAGGATGATTTAAAGGCAACACATTAAAGACAAGAAGAAAACAACACGCATACTAATGGGATTGCTCACTTATAATGGTGAGGTTGGTTGTGCATTTAGAAAAGGTGAAAATTCACCGGCTTTAACAAGCTCTCTTTTTTTCTCCGTTTTCTGCTCAAATGGGGAATATTAAAGCAGTCTTATGTGGAATGCAACTGCACCAATGTGCCGCTCAGAGAGGAGGGAATAAAAAGAGAAGTCAGAGGATTTGGGGGGAATGCAGAGGGGTCATGCCTCTTTCCTTTCACAGTCTTTCCTCTCTCTTCTTCTCCCGTTTTCACTTTCCTCCTCAGCGACATGTCCAACGGACTCGTTTCCGTGACAACTGCAGCATCAGTTTATCTTCTTGCGATTTTGGGAAAATGGAAGTGGCAGTCTGTTTGTGTGTGTACAATAGAGACATACCACAATTATGTTTACATGTGATACTAGTTAAATAGTTAGGGTTTCAATTGTTCTTTTGTAGGCATATGTAAGCAGGTATTACTGGATTGCCAGTGTTTCTCAGTAAAAAAATCTTCTGTTCATCTACTTTCATCTAGACATAGGCCTCTGGGATGTCGGAGCCGTTGACTTTGATGTAGATCTTAAATTCTTCCTCCTTCTGCTGCTGCTCTTTGTCGAGCGTCCGTCTGTAGCAGAACAGGTAGAGAGGCAGCAAGAAGCCCAGCATACTCACAACAAAGAGTCCAACATTGACCTGGAGGACAACAACAGAATTAGCCACGCCTGAGGGGTTAATATGTTTGTTTTAGGGTTTGTGTGTGTGTATTCATACCCAGAGTGGGTCTCCCCCCAGGGGCCCCATCATAGCCAGAAACAGAGGTTGCTGCAGTAGAGAAAACACAGCACTGACCAGAGACTGCATGCCTGTTAGACTGCCAAACTGGGAGGAGGGATACCTGGAGAGACAGAAGCGATACATTTAGCTTCCTGGTTTGAAGCTGAAAATGGTGATGTGTGTTTGTGAGTATGTGTGTGAGGTTAGAGGTACATTGAGACTTACACAGCAGCATAGAGGCCGCCAACAGCAGAGTGAATGAATCCTCTCACCACAGTGTGTAGGACAAATGACACAATCTGAGGAGAGATCAAAATAGAAGAAATTAATATTCATCAGTTAGTTTATGAAGGCCTTTCCTGCTGAGAGTTAGATGAGATTGATACCACTTTCACGTCTGTCTGTTATGAAGCTGACAGCAGCCGCTTAGCTTAGCTTAGCATAGAGACTGACAACAGGGGGGAAACAGCTAGCCTCAATAAAACAAGGCTATAAAATACAATACTACTTGACATACATTAAAATAGTTAAGATCATGGGTCACAACACTGATCTAAAAAAGATGTCTGTGTCTAATTTTGGAAATTGGATGCTGTAATTACACACAGTGAGGATGTAAACCATGTTGACTTTTACATACAGTCTCTGCAGTCAACACCCTGTAAAAAGAGGATTATCAGGAACTTTTTAGAGATGAACTCTAAATTTAAACTCTAAACTAACTAACTAACTAAACTCTAACTCTTCTAGCAAGTCTTTGAAGGCCTGTGTGTATCTCTGAGAGCTGAAGCAGATCACTCACCTGTAGGGGGAGATTGGGCACAAGGCATGTGATCCCAAATGCCACTAAAAGAACGTTGGTGAGGATGAATGCTCGCAGGGCATTGGTCACCTTCTGGGTCTTTTTGTCTCTGCGCTTTTTCCTTATCTCACCCCTAGGGGTCAAAATCAGCCAGAAGAAAGAGAAAAAAAAGGTAATCAGACACTGTTACACAACTCAGTGCTTAGTTTCTTGGATTTATTCATCACACTGGAAAGTAAACATTGCAGTAATGTCTGGGCCTATAAATAGAAAGGGGTTAAGGGCAGTCTAAGGAACAACTCAAACTTGACTCACTTGCTGCAGGGTTCTTTTTCCTTCTCTCCATCGTCACAGTCCTTCAGCTTCCAGTCCATGATCTGACCAATGACGGGGGTGGTCATCAGGCAAAGCAACTGCAGCACGCCAAAGATGGAGGAGTACAGACTCACTGGGAGACGGATTAGAATGAGGTTAAAAAAGATTGTAAAAAACAACGATTAGAAATTGAGAAGGAAGAAGGAGCAAGTGTTGGGGGAAGGATAAAAACATCATAAGAAGGAGGGTTCATGATCTTTTTCTACATGGTTAATGACTATGACGGTACAGTTAATTATTAGTCCTGGGCGGTAGAGCCTTATTGAGTAAAACCGCAATGATACGGAGAAAACGGCTGTTCAAAAGTCGATTTGATGCCATTAAGAGATTTATGGCCAAGTGCCTCATATAAAACTGCTTATATGAGTAAGTGCTGAGGGGCAATGTTAGTTAATGAGTACAACAAATGGTAGCTGGTGGTTTCAGATTTAAGCTGAATGACAGCTGAAGGACTGGGTTATTGACAACAGCCAAGGTCAAATAATGAAATAACAACACTAGCTATGACAAAGAGAACGTAGAAAAACAGAAAGTTGAGGTAGTGGATCTAATACAGTATTGTGAGGGTAAAGCTATATAAGACTAGAGGTTAATAAACTAACTGTGTTCTAATACTTCAGTAATCTACTGATACAGGATTTAAGTCTTACCAACTTCCATCTTCTCCACTGAAAATTCAATTAAAACCACGTAAGTCCGACTAAATTTAAGTCATGAATCAAAATGACGAAACAGTATATGTCATAAGAAACTGCAAGAAACTTAATTCTAGGTAAAAATCAAACAAACAAACTTTCTTATGACTACACACACAGCAAAATACAGAGAGACAGACCTTTGTTGAGGTCTCCATCACTGAGCGACTCCAGGACGCTGTTCATGGCCCCCATGTAGAACAAGAGACGAAGCTGAGTGACGGACATGGTCACCAGACTGAGCAGGAAAATCGGGCTGCTGATAGTTTTGAAGAATGATTGGGCTGCAGAGGAGAAACAGAAACCAAACAGAGGTAAATTACAGTGCATTAAAAGAGGGGTCCAGCTTTTTCTAACATCCTAACAACAAATTTACATACAGTGCTTTTGGATTCTGCACTCTTACATTCATTTTGTGGCTTGCAATCCATTTCCAGGTCCATGGTGGACAGGCAGAGCTTGTGTCCATCCTTAGTGGTCGGTTCCTTCTCCTTCAGGCTGTTGCCCAAACTGAGACGATTGCCCACTGTGGTCACGTGGTGGTAGAACTGCTTCCCGGTGATTTTATGGTCAAAGCCCAGCCAGCTGAACTTGATCTTCACACTGAGAAAGCAGAGGAGGAGAGACAGATGAACAGGACAAATAAGAATGAGGACGGTGTGTGAGGAAGAACAGACAAAAGTTAAGAGACAAGGGCAGAGGTCGTGGGGGAATAGAAAAGTATAAAATAAATAGAATCATAAATAGAAAATAGTGACATACAGGATACATGTCACATTCATGTGTTACTTAATGCTAAAAATGTAGAATGGGGCTTCTTGTGGAGGTCACCCTTCAAATCCTGCACAAATCAGTCTACTGGAAAAGTTTTTTGCTTAAGAAGCAAGTGAAAACTGTGTGATTTAAAAGGATCTACCACATGGACGAGTTCAGCTGACTTGTATGATCCTCAGCAGACATTTTTACACATATTACGTAAGTGTCAATGGGGATGACTACTATACTTTGGAACAAACTAATGACTGCTGTCACTTCATTAGTCCAACTAGTTTTATTTCTGAAACACTTGAAGGTAGAAAACTTATAACTTACGTGTAGTCCATGTCCTCTGGTGATGGGAACGGTTCTAGTGGCCAGTTCAAGAAGCAGTTCAAGAAGACCAGTGCAGCACAGGAGGCCCACACCACCAGAATAGTGATGAATGATATGCCAAGGTCATAGATCACCTGTGCACATCAAAATATGACCAATAAGTACAAAAAAATAGAGCAGACAACCAACACCTGGAATCAGAATATACTTGAATTATACTCTGAATTAGTTATTTAATAGTAGATAATGTTAAAATTTGTTCAGCTGGATCCAGCTCTGCATCAAAATATACAGTGGCAGCCATGATATTATTAATATTTTTATACAAGGATGAATAGCGCAACATTTTAAGCTAAGTGGTAGTAATTTAAAATGATCATGTCACCATAGTGTCATGTATTGGCAAAAAGCCTATGAATTTTCCAGTATCGTTATTTAATATGTAAAAGTAAACGTGGTTGCAGATTGCACAGTGCAGAGTTATTGCAGTTTATGTAAAACAGAAGAATTTGCTAAACAAGTATAGAATGAGAAAAAACCCATTAGGTTATAGATTTGGTGCCGACTGCGATGCACTTTCACATGCATTGTGCAGTGTGATTATGTGTTTGTTACCTTGACACCAGGGAAGGTGACTGCAGAGGAGGCATAGGAGCCAATCATCAGGGCAATAAAGGTGGCACGGAGGTCCCCAAACATGTTAGGGAGCTAAAGAGAGAACGAAAGAGGAAAAGAGACAGCTTTCAGATTACCACATCATCACAACATGTCTCGAGAGAGAGAGACGAGCTACATCCCAGTGTGTATGTAAGTATAAAGGTTAAACCATCTGCTGCCAAGATCATGGTGATCTCAGCTGCAGTGTAGCTGCTTTAAACTTGAGGCGGGGGACGGATTGGGGACACTATGAGGATGGTGCCTACTGACACCTGGGTCAGAGTGGACAGTGGGAACCAATTAGCAAGCAGACATGGCTCTACAGAAAAAACATCAGAGAAAATAAAAGACAACAAAGTGACACGCAACACCAGTAAAAGCAATATGAAACAGCATCACATAACACACACAGCTGTGCAATACATGACACAGTGCTGATGGATACAGCTGAAACAATCAGAGAGGGTCACTGAGGTGAGGTGACATTTCTTTACTCCCGTTTCAGGAAAGAGAAGAAAGAGAGAAAAAAACAGACGAAACAGGAGACAGTGGGTGGCAAAACATCCAAATACAAAGGCATTCACAAGCTGTTCTGTTTCCAAAGACTGAACAACAACAAGCACATTCAATTACATAAGACTGGGGAAGCTGAGGAAGAGGTATGTGTGTGTGTGTGTGTGTGTGTGTGTGTGTACTAAATTGAGTGTGCACACTGAAGCACCCAAGTTACAGTATTTCCCAGAAATATCAGGCATACTTGGAAAACTGTTCCAATAGAATTGGAAGCAGATACATCAGCAGCTGCTGGACAACACCTGAATAGGGAAAGGTGACCTGACAACTGACATTGGCAGGGAGCCAGTGGTGGCCGCTGAGGGCAGCTGAGTATTACCCAACACTCATCAGCTTAGAGTGAATGCTTGTAGGTCTGAGGTGGAGTCATGATCAAGGAGCATAGCGTCTAATGATTAACCCAGCACTGAGGCTTTCATGTATAGTATATCAGATTGTGAAGGAGATGGAGTAAAAGGTGCAAGTATGAGGGGAAAACATGGTTTTATGCAAAGACTCTGGGGGACTCCATTACATGAAGCCTGCAGGAAAAGAGCAAACAAAGCCCTTAATTATGGTTTTAGCACATTGCTGACATTCAGGCTAGTGGCAGCAACTAATGAGAGATTTAGGTAGATGCAACAAATACCACATAAAGATGCACATCACAGTAACGGCCTGTGGTGGTATAGAAAAGGGGAATTGTATTGGGAGATTTACTGGAGTAGAGCCCTTCTCTAGTGAACAGCATCACCATGGTACAGCCCAGGACTCCTGTGTGAGTGGCCGTAGTCTGAACTTGATGACAAGGGGAGGGAACAGAAGGATGAAGAACAGCAGGAAAAGAATGCAAAGGAATGATGAGGGGTTGACCCTGCGAACCCTACGCATCTTAAAGAGCATTGTTTGTTTTTCCGTGTTTCCCTGTGTATCTGAGGTCCTGCTCATACTTAAAGGGGAACTCCACAGATTTGGCACATAAAAGTCTTCTTACAGACCTTGGGGAGTAAAACAATGTAAAAAGAAAAAGTTGCGTAAAGCCTTTTGGCTTCAAAGAAAGCACAAAATCTGATAAATTACCAATGTAGGTTGGAGCTGAAGACTAAATGTGAAAATTAAAAACAATTTGGGGGTATGGTGCGGTGTAGTCTGCTCCTGACCTGTGCTTGAGGCTAAAGGCTACCTTAGCAACTATTAGCATAACACATCTAAATATCTGAGTTGCATTGTGGGTAATTTACTAATTATTATTAATTTATAATGAATACATTTAACTTCCCTGTAAACACAAAATACATTAGTTTCCAAATAATAATTTGGGATTAGTGTATTTTTGTGCTTGTGCATTAAAGTAGCTGCATGTGTTTGGTTAAAAAGACAGGGAGACAAGCACAATAATAGATGCAGCAGAAAGTGATAATGAACCATTGCATACCCCTCCACCGCCCCCCTGCCCACCCCATTCTGCTGTCCAGAGCTCAGCCTGGTTGTGTGCAGGAACACAGAGTGCAATGTAAGAAGATAAATAAATAAAACAGAATGCCACACGAGGGGACGGAGAGGGTGAGCAGACAGGGAGCCAGCAAACTATTACTGATGCCTATGAAGATTTACGGCAAGAGAAAATATACATCTGGACAAAAATGATGCAGCAGGTGCAATGGCTCTGCAGCAGGAGGATTACAAAGAACAAGCAACCGTGCATACACTTACCGTGAGAGAGGTGAAGGTCATGCACATGCCCCCAAAGCCATTGAAAGTCAGGGCAATGAAAATAAGGACAGAGAGTTCTGCAAAGAACACATATGTTAGATCAAGAGTCTGTCAATAACCAAACTACTGTACATTGTTTCAAATACAGTTTGTAAAAGTACACTGGAGTACTCTTTAAGGGGACTTACCATTTGGATTGTAGGCTCCATAAGCAATGAGTAGACAGGACAGTCCAAAACATGTGCTGAAAAATAAATGATCATGTCAAACACTGCTTATGACAGTTACATTTCTTCAATGGAAATGAGGGTTTACATACTTTCTATAAATAACATGGTAGTATGAATAATCCCTTTTCTTTTTTGCTTACCTGCCCAGCAGCCGTAGCTTGCGAGGTCCGTATTTATCCATGACGATCCCCAGTGGCAGGGTGATAGCTGAGAGCAGGAAGGAGCCCACTGTGAATGCCAGGTTCAGCATTTCATCCTGTTCTTTACAAATCAGCCAGCCGTTCATCCTCAGGGGCCCATCCATAGGAACCAGGGGCCTCATCTCCACTCCGTCTCCCAGACCAACCACAGCACCCTCGCTTTCATAGTATTCAGCGTACTCGTTGGGTATCGGAGTTGTCAGGGGTAGGGAAAGATTGTAGCTGGTGCTGTTACCTGAAGAACATGAGGCATGAAGGTAGAAAATAAGTTGTTTTTAGAAGTCTTATTAAGTCTTACTGATACCCCAAAAAACATCCATAAATGTTGAGAGGGGTGAATAATTACATGACTGAGTAAAGTTTAGTTCGGCTATGTGTGCCTGCAGATGGTTCAGTGTATAGTGAGTTGTGGCTTCTTGACATACAGATACAATTTGTCAATACACTGCTTATTCACAGGATTTACAAATCCTCAAATTAGAAACCCATGTATAACATCATATTAGGAGCAGAAGCAAAAAAGACTTGGAGACAGACATACATTTCTGCCCCTTTACAGTTCAGACCCACAGAAACATTAAATTTCTTTACTGAGATGCTATTTGGATTTTATTAGTAGGCTGGAATGCCAGGGATAAAAAGTGATAGGCTTGCACTGACTATGAACTTCACATTATCATCAGAACCTTCAAGGACATAATGTGAAAAGGTACAAAAGTCCAATGAGGGGGGAATGGGAGAAGCAGTTTAGAAACGTATTGGTTTATGAGCTGATGTTTTCTCGATTACACTCCCTCACACCTACGTGGTATCAGCCACTTGATGTCTTCGTAGACACGTGAATGCCAAAGTCTACGTTAGTAAGTCAGTTCATGCACGTGCAGCAAAGCTGAAGGGAGCAACTGGTTGACAACGTATATGTCTGAATGTGCACATACAGTAAGAACTTAATGTTGTTGTGGCATGTGTTGCAAGAAGGTCAAATGAAAAGCTTGTGGGGGTTTTTAATTGATTGTTATATATATATATATGCATCATCCCCAGTCTCTATTGCTAAAACATACAGCTTTCTAGATACATTGAAAATATGATTTATATAAATTCCAGGGAGTATGTGCTTTGTTCAACTTTGTCCAGGAAAACTCACACACGTGTAAAAATACACAACTAATTATTTTAACATTGTACAAAAAGAGCACCACAGCCGCTTTGACCAGCTGGGAAATGAGGCGAGACCACGTGTTTTCCCTTCCACGTTGACTCGTGCCTGCTGACCTACCAGAATAAAATCAAGCTTTAACCATTCCTCCAGTATATTTGCTGCATGTGCACAAAAGCCTAATCTACACTGCATCATCGGTATCCCTTTAACCACCAACCCCACCAGCTGATTTTCACTGTTCATCACTTTGCTATCAGTCTTTTCTCCCTCACTGCCCTTTATCAGTGGACTTTATACGTCCATATTACCAGTAATAAAACCCCGCTGTGGATCACTCTGTTCCTTCATCACATGTCACAAGCCTGAAAAGAGCTGAGCTGGTGCTGCCGCCCTCTTATATCATCAGAAACAAGATATGGTGGCTGTGGCAGTCCTCCAGGATGTCACCTACAGTCGAGGATGCTCAATTGTTACTTCAGTTATGAGTCGGAAGTCAGCATAACAGCTAAACAATTTTAATATCCTATAAAGTGATCTCCCTTTGCTGGTAAACCATGGTTTAGTTTTAGGAAGTGTGTCTATTAATGCTGAATATGCCTATAGATCAAGTAAGGGATCTAGAACACAGTGCCAGACACTAGGAGTTGAAAAAACATCCTGCAAATCACCAGTCATATAAATCAATTGTGTGAACTCTCTAGGAGATAGGGCGGCTACTAGTGAGACCAATAGTTTAGTGTTTGTGCGATTAGCAGGGCTCACCACGGTCAGGACATGGTTCAAGACACAGTGTCATATGATTCCTCTCTCACATTTCTTTTTGCTTACTCTCTTCTACCTGACTGGGGCCGTTGTGTGCATCAATTCCACCTTTGTACTTAAAAATACAAAGCACCTGTCTGGCTTTGGTGAAAGTGAGGGGACAAGGAGAAAAAGAGAAGAGGCTTTAGAGATGAGGGGCTTGAGGGCAAAAGGACAGCTGATCCAGACTGTCACTGGTTTACTAGTTCCCTCTCAATCAGTCTGCCGCCATTTGTCTTTAGCTGGAGATTTACTCTTCAACTTTGGACTTCTTTGACAACTTGTACCCCTGCTCTCTTTTTAATTCAACTGATCTGGTTTAATCTCCTGAGTCCCTAAAAAACAGCCCATGACCCCTTCACACAAAACACTTATTCTTCCTAGAGAATGGACGAGGCTACAAGGCAGTAGTGTTAATTTACAGTGCATGTGTTAAATAAAACCTTGCTCCCTCCTCTGCCCTATAACTCACAATGACACTGGCTGACCCCTCATTACTAGACAGCTCAGTGTTCTGTGCTATAACCTCACAAAGACAAATTCTTGAGACTATGTGATTCACCATCAAGGCACATTAAGGCAAAGGTGTGGGAAGTATGAAAAGTGACAGATAAGTGACATTACTCTGGGAACTTACATAATCCATTTATCAACACAGACATGCAACAGTCGTGACTCACCCTCCTCGTTGCAAAGGTAAGAGTAGAAGCCTTCCGACTTGAGCATGATGAGGAGCGACCCCCATCCCAACAGCACCGCGGAGAACAGCAGATTCTCAATGATAGCAGTCACTGCCATCCACCAGCGCCTGGCAAACGCTGTGGTCAGGGTTGGAGGCATGTTCAGTTGCAAGAAAGTAAAGGCAGGGAGAGAAGAAGCCGTGGAGAGTAGACAGAGAGCGAGAGAGCGGCAGAGGGGATAGAAAGGAGCAAGCTGGAAGCACAGAGAGAGCCTCCCTGACTGACGCTCAGGATGAAGGATCACTGATCACTTATCTGTGAAGAGAAAGGCACAAGAGGAAGGGGGGGGGTGGGGGGGGTTATCGTTAGCCTATCACTGAAGTCACTGAAGGACAGGAAGGTTCAGTTTTTATAAGATCACAAGATAAGACCACTTTGTATTTAACTGAAGATAACTTGTTGCATTGTATGAAATCAAGTGAAAACGAAGCTGTGATATCTGTGAATTATACATCTGCTCTGTTTTGTTTCATAACTTTTGGGATTAATTGAACGCCTTCTAATTAGACAGAGGAGAGGCAATGTCGGCTGCTGTGAAGAGCTACACCAACTAATAGAAACAATGGATGGCAAATGATTAACTCTCCTGCTGGTGCAAAGATCATTACATCACTCTGCTGCAGGGACAAAGATCTTACATCACATTATAGGCACTAAGGCACTAATAACTGTAGAAGCATCTGTGGTGGCATCACAGAGTTTCTGTTGTTTGGTGGAAAATGCAAACTGGTCCGAACTGGATAAAAATGGGGCTTTCTCTCTCCCTGCTGCCCGTGGCCCCTCTCTCTGTCTTTCTCCCTTTCTCTCCTACACAGCCCCCTACATGTCCTCTCAGGCCCATCCAACCGCAACTTCCCTCTGCAATTACTGTGGTGCATCCAAAACATGAAGGAGATGCCAGACAAACAATAAACAAATCAGCCAACCTCTCTCTCTCCCCCTCTCTCACACACACACACACACACACACACACTACTGTACATGCACCCACACAAAATCTGTTCAACCAGTAAAAAAAAAGTTGTTGCACAGTTACATCTCATGATAGATAAATAAGCAAACCAACATATTATAATTAGGATAGCCTGCTCTGTATATCTGTTGTTTCATTTATTTATTCGTTTGTTATAAAACAAACAAATCTATTCCCGTTATTCAATGATTTTTCTACAAAGCAAAGTCAGCGACAGGTATGTGAGCTCTCCAGGGTATGCACAAACTTCCTTACCTCTTCAGGCTCCAAGCAGCACCATCCAGCTTCTATCTTTCTGTTGCACTCTGGACGAGTTAAGTGACCACTTACTTGTGAAAAGCCAGGTTTATATACTCTGGCCGTCTTCACATGGCGCCCTCTATTGACCATTGGCTGTCTGGTGTCTGCACAGTGAATGGGCCTGCAGAGTAGACTTAGCACTTACATTTTCTCATAGCCTAATAATAAGGGCTTGCAGCTTGGGAATCCGTTTTTAGGCCTATAGAGCATATTTATTTTTATATGGCTGCAAATATAAAAAGAGTCTCTATTAATGAAACTGACACAGTAGTTTGATTTTATCAAAGTCATTGTGCAATGTGAGGTCCGAAACCGCTCAGACTGGGTGAGTGGAAGGGAATAATCAAAGTCTTGTTGAAAACATAATGGCCTCCTGCAGATAAGGGTGTGTTGTTGTCTGGATCAATAACAGATATTGATGGAGAGCAGGAGGCAGACTGGAGCGGTGACTCCCCCTGTGTCAGTGGTTGCGTAAACTGTTTACTGTTGTTTACCATGTTACGTTCAGTGTTTACCGGTGATGAGGTGGAAGTGCACACACACACACACACACACACACAGACTCGCACTGAGGGAAACGGTTGGTTGATTGAAGCCCCCGCAGTCTGGCGTTGGTTTGCATCCGTAAATACTCGAATTAGGTAATTTCTGCTTACTGACAATGCTTATTTATTTGCATGATCAATACTGTGCGTGCTGACTGCCCTGTTTGGTTTTGTGGATACATCCAAAATAATGCAACAGCATCTCTTATCTATGTTCAACTTTTAATTGTTTTTTTTTTTAACTGTGAGACATGGAATATGTTTGGAAGTGAGGGCTAGATCACCAGCAAACTGACAATCAAAACCAGGCCTGTTTTCCAGGCAGGAGACCACAAGTTGCTCACTTTCAGTGCTGAAACTGTAATCAATATGCAAACCAATCACTGAGTGGCCAACAGTGAACCTCTCCAAATAAACACTGATATGGTAATTTGTTTTGTTACCGTGATCAATACCTCAGATCAGTTTAAAATTCAAATGTGCCTTTAATCTGTCTGCCTATAGAAAGCATTCATGGTGATGGGGCATTTGATCTATCGATCCTAGATTAACCAATCGGACGGTTTGAGTATCAGCCATTAACTGCTCAATGGATCTCACACTGTTGTGGATGCCACAAGTTATTTACAAACTCGTAACGAAACACACACACACACACACATCAGATACGATTAATCACCAGTGCAGTGTTTTATTTCCTACCCCTTATCATAAGCATTTATTGATCTGATCAGCTACCTTACATGATCTATAGGATACCACAAATTTTCAAGGAAGGATCCAGTTGTCTGAGATAAACGCCCCCTTGTGGCACAATGACACAATATTGAACATGACCACTGATGCACAAATGTAACACCACAATTGAATAAATCTCTTTATTGTACATTCATAACTGGAGTCAAACATTTGGTAAAGCAGTACATTGCAAAAACAGCAGACACAGTGCAAAATGCCAGAAAAACGGCAAAATAAGTAATCCACCGATATAAAATGCTCCTTTTAGTCATAAGAAACAAGAAATAAAGCAGTGCTGAACTTTACACATCATTGTACAGTCGTTTGTATATTTTACCTGCTTGATATTTACATACTTCCAGAAAATATACATATGGAACAGTGATTTTGTCCTAATGTTTATGTGCATTAATGGTCACTGCTGTGGTAACACACATATAGCCCAGTGTTGGAATCCCTTCATTAAAGCAGTCCACCTAAAGCCATGAGACCAAGCGCTAGAGAGAGCAGCAGTGTCTTTATGGAGCCTTCAGTTCCTGGTGCTGCAGCTGAAAAGACTAGGTAAGAGAGTGAAAAAGGAAGTCAGAGACAAGATGACAGGATGTGTGAATGATGACACATTAACAACCATTACTTCTTACGTTCAGAGTTATGCTTCCTTAGTAAAATCCGTTAGCCCTTAAATACACAACCTGAGTCAAAGCCTATTCTGTGTGTCTTTGCCATCTTTGAATTCACTTATTTAGTGGTGTACAGTGTTGGGGAGGACTGAACTACATGTAATTAAACTAGAA